GCAAGTTACCAAACCTAGTGAAAATCAAATAAATCCAAAACATATCCAAGTCTCGCAATGAAAAAGGAGTACAAAGTGAACTCAAGATTGCTGAGTTCAACATGAATTTTATAAATAAAAAAAAAAAAAAAAAAAAAAAAAAATGGCTTATCTAATCTCTTCCATATCAGAATTCAATAAAATCAAGTATAAGTATGAGCTTCATCAGAATTCAATAGTTGGTGATGCTTTCAAAGAAGTCAAATGCATATATATAAATCATCTAATATTATTGGCACCTAATTGTCATATATTTCAATGTATCTAATGTCATTGTCAAAGTGATGGTCGTACAAAACCACATGGAAAAAACAAATCAACTAGTATCATATGCAAGCTAAAAATTAAACACATCAAAAAAAAAATATTTGACCACAAAAAGTAAAGCCTTATCAATGGTCTATGCAATGAAGAAATACAAGCACTATTTTTTTAGAAATAGATTTTAGTTTGTTTTTGACCATCACTTGCTACTTCGTTTAATAAATCAACTTATGATTATTAGCTAATAAAAAGAATAATATTGCTTATAGAATATGACTTTGAAGTTGTTTATATGTCCAAAAAACATAATGTAATTGCAAATTATTTCTCAAGAATATATCTTGATTGAAATAATCTTTAATCAAAGCACACATTTTATAAATAAGGTCATAGAATAACACATAGACATATTCATAATCAAGCATTGTGCATCCATGACATATTATTCTCAAAAAAATGGACTTGTTGAATCTACTTATAAAACCATTATTAATATGTTATATTATTTTATTTATAAGAATAAAGCAAACTAGGATGAGTATTTACTTATTATCTTTTAGGCCCATTATATTGCATATATAATGACTCAAAAAATTATTTCAATATTGACATATTTTGAAAAGAATGGGATATCACGGATGAATTGTAGTCAATAATGACACGTGATTTGTATAGCAAATAAAGCACTCCTTTATAACTACCAAATGAGTCCACATTGAAAAGAATCCATCAAATATTTTTCGAGCTATGACCAATCTAATTTGGAGTAGTATTAAAATAATTTTTTGAGTGTGATGTCTAATTTTTGGATTTTATCAATTATTCAATATTACAACATTCTATCATCATTAGATTTACTTTGATAATATTATTACTAATCTAATGACATCATTAATACTTACCAACACTTATAAAAGCACACATTCCAAATTCTTGATATGGACATATTTCAAATTACTACATTCCAAATTACCATATTCTGAATTCTTGGCATGGATATATTCCAAATTACCACATTCTAGGACATTCTAGAATCTTTTGTAAATTTTTAGAACCTTCTAGATACTTGTAGAATCTTCCACAATCTTTTAGAAAGTTTTATGGACTTCTAGAAGCATCTTTAGACTTTTCAAAGCTTCTTTAGACTTCTAAAAACTTCCATAGAAACTACCATAGACTTTTGTAACTTTCATTATAGTATAAATAAGAGTCTTTGGAACTGCTTTTACTATCAATATCATTCTTTGTCTTTAATCTTGACATATTTCTTTATCAGATTCTTATGTCCTTAAAAATTCCTTGAATAACCATCAGATCCATTTTTTGCTCTCTCCAAGACAACATCACCTTTGCTCTTCTTCATTTTCAAAAATCTTATAGCCAAATTGCTTTGGAACTTAACTGTACTAAAGCTACTATCTCTAGGCTAGTAAAAAATATCACTTTTAATAGGAAGAATCTTAAATTAGGCAGACCAAAGAAGCTCACTATAGTAGATGAAAGAGCAACCATTTGCCAAATCAACATTGAGAAGGCTAAAAATGTTGTTGAAATTACTAAAAACCTTAACAATATTATGAGTAATCCTATGTCAACTCAAACTATTTGAAATATTTTCAAGAAATGGAATATGAAAGCCGTGGTGAAGAAAAAAAAAAAAAAAAAAAAAAAAAAAAAACTCCACTATTATCTACCCGCTATCGGAAATAATACTTGAACTTTACTTTGAAGTATAAAGAATGGACTGTAGAGGCTTGAAAGAAGGTTATTTAGTCAAATAAGACAAAAATCAATAGATTTAGGTGAGATGGTAGGAAGTGGGTGTAAAAACAAAAAGGTTGGTCCTTGCTTGACAAGAAGATTCAAAAAACAAATAAACATAGAAGTAGAAATATAATCGTATGGGGTTGTATGGGATAAAATGGAATTAAGAGGATGGCAGAGGTTGAAAGGAGGATGGATGCTAAGCAATTTGTAGAAATTCTTGAAAAAAACCTACTCCCTAGAATTGAAGAATCTAACATTTTTTAGGATGAGGTGATTTTTTAACAAGATACTGACTCCAAGCATAATTCAAAACTAGCATAGAAGTAGTTTGATCATCATATAATTAAAGTAATGAATTGGCCTACTTAGTCTTTTGATCTTAATTCCATTGAACATCTTTGGCAGCACCTTAAATACCAGCTCAACACCTAGAAAATAAAACCAAAGAGAATTTGAGAATTATAGAAAAGAATAGCTGAGGAATGGAATAATATTGAAGCAGTTTTATGCCAAAAGTTAATAGAAAATATGCCTAGGAGGTTGGAAGCAATTATTAAGGCCAAAGGAGGTCCTACAAAGTACTGATATGTAATTGGATACCACATTCAAAAAAAATATTTCAATATTGTTCCAAATTTGATTGATCATAGCTTTACAATTACTCGATCGGTTTCTTTTCAATTTAGATTCATTTGATAGTTGTAAAAGAGTACTTTATTTGTTATATTAACCAAGTGTCATTATTCACTACAATTCATCTACAATACACTATTCTTTCCAAAATATGTCAATATTGAATAATTTTTGAATCACTACAAAACTGTAATGAAACACTCATCAAAAAAAGACCAAAGAGGATGCCAAGAGTAAACAATAGTATGAGAAGTATAAGAAGTAATCCAAGTAAAAGAAATCTTGTACCAACATTGATGTCTATACCATCTCAGTTGACTTATGGCACCACAGTCTTCAAGAAATGACTTGAGAAGTGACAATCTATGAAATCCAATTGCAATACAAAATCCTATACCAAAGAATACACGTATTAATAATATTAGCCAGCAAATAAAGCAAGAAGTCACAATATTATAAAGACTACGCCGAGAATACAATCTGAGAATATTACAAAATCAACAAAATATTACAATTACAAATCAACCAATTGAACTAAGAAGTAATCCACATGCATAACACTCCTTAGATATCTACAAACATCTTAGATATAGACAATGCACAACACAAGGTAGAAAGCTTGTGGTTCCAATTCAAGGAAAAAAACCATGCTATTCTCTAACAACATGACAAACTTATAGTACTCAAGTATGATCAAACTACTATGGATGGCAAGTTACAAGAGCTATAAGACAAACTTCAAGTAGCACGACATAAACAAGGAATCCTTAAAGCCTTGAAAAATACCTCCTAAATTTGGATTAAAATTTCTAAGTCTTCAAAACCATGTTAAGCAAGGCTCAAGCGATATTTAAATCCACAATCAATGAACCATGTACATAGCTCAAAGATACAACATGAGGAATGAGTATCAGAAGTAGAGAAAATCCACCCACATTGATAAAGCAAGCTTGAAACAAATTCAATCTTGACTACAACCAACCTGAAGATGACAAAAGAATGTTTAATACTTGACACACAGTCAACCACTCAGACAATCCCACATTCGAAGCAACCTTACAAAGATATAAATTTATCTCATGTATTTCCTGAACACATGGTCAATCATAAAGACCAATTGTACATCTTAAATAGTATGTTTGACCATAATTTTGACTTACTTAACGTGAGTAGCTACCAATTAGGTAACCACACTTGCCTATAATGGTATTATTGACTTGAAGAGCTTATACATGCCCACAGATATTACCCACCAAAGTACCCTAATGGCACTACATCAAAGTAGTAAGCAAGGAGATAAGATGCTATTACAAGGACGTTGTAGTAGAAGGATGTTTAAGTGTTAGGAAAAGGACAATGAGGTAATTGAGAATTAGTACAATATTTAGTGGGTCTTGTGCAAAGGCACCACAAGTTAGATAGTGTTAGGCTGGAAATTATGTAATTTTGACTAAATGATAAGTTGGGTCTTATTTCTTTTCCAATCATCATGTATGACATATTTGGTCTTACAAGGTCGTGTCCCATGCTTGCCTATAACCCTAAAAGCACAAATAACATAGATAGCAAAATTAAGTGCCACACTTCTTGATTTTGTAAAAAGAGGATTCTTGATTGTATAATCCACCACTAATCGGAATTAGGTTAGCCTAAATGTCAAATTTGGGTCAAAGAAACTCTTCAGCTAAAACATTTGTATGAATTCACTTTTTGAGTTAAATTGTGTAAAAACACCTAAAATCCTCTTGATATCTATTTCATTGCATGGGAATATTTTATTTTTATTCTTACTACATCAGGGGTCACGTAAGATCTCTGAAGCAGGCAAAGAACAGCAGGGCTGCTGAGTACTCCGGCATCCCTTGCTGACTCCACATGCATGAGCGATTCGGGCTTCATTAATCTGTTGACGGTTGAAGCGGAATTTTCTTGTGTATTAACTGCATTTTCAACACCAAAAAACTTTCTTCGCATCGGATAAAATTGAGATGAATTCCCCGGAATTGTTTTATCAAACCTTTAGATTTTGTTTAAATTTGAAACTTTTGAGATCCTCAACAGTTGCAGATCTGCCAACATGGCTCATCAGCATAGATGTAATCACAACTCCTAAATCCTATTGATAAATTTTGCTTAATGCACTTACCAAATAAAATCCAATAAAAAGCCTGAATGGTGACCATTGCAAATGACAATCCTTACAGAATGGAGCTCTTAAAACTTTGGGCAAGTCTAAGATACCACCAGCATAAACCTAACCTCCATTCGGCCGAAGAAATATGCACATTAGGTCAAAGTAGAATTAAAATCCATTTTGCGGTAGAACCTTCAATTCTTTATGGAAATTAATTTGTAGAGCCTGTCGCATCAACAACGCTCAACGTCTGAAACTAAAAATAGTATTAACACGACCACGAAACTGACTTAATACCTGAAGCGCATGGCTGACAAAATTGAACACTCACACAGCTCGTCATCTTACACTGGTAAAGATCCCTTTCTACAATTTTCTGCGGACTCGATGTCAAAGCGAAATCTCACTCAACACCGCAGTCTCACGAGCTGAAATTCATGGGGAACAAGACAATTTCATGTACAATGCCCAGTAACTACAGTAGAAGACGCTCTGCAAACTATAATCTCAGTAGCATTACTAAGCTCAAAGCCATCCATTGAAACTTCCACCCCATGCATGCTCTGCGCTCAGCACCATCTGCACTGCACTGCACACAACAACCAAACCTTATTAAGCACTCCGCAAACCACAAACATTATAAACGGAATGTTCCTGGAATCACCACCAGTCATCCTTGCACCAACTAATCTACTGGGCAAGATAAACGGCTCAACCACTCCAACACCAAACCTGTTAACCACATGGAATGCTCTTACATCGACGTCGCCGCACACGAAGTCAAAACCAAACAAGCAGACTGATTTAGCTCATGCACAAACTTACAATGCAGCAGATTTCTGCAATGACACGACCAAATGTTAATCATGACACATGATGAAGTAATTCGACACAGGCTTGCGCACCTAGGCTGGTCCAAGACTGATAAGTTCTCCTGCTCATTCAGAGGTCGTGGGAGACTCTTTTTCAAGAGTAATCAAGAAAACTGGGGATGAGGCGAACGACGTGCAGGGAGCCCACCAGCATACCCGGTGCATTCTCCGAAGCCCCGACCATTCACAACCTAAATTAAACCCCCTTCCGCTACCTTTCTTCTCCTGCTATTCTAATATTCCCCAACAATCACTATGTGGTCCCAAGTTGCCAATATTAAACCCAGACTGACAGGGCGCTCCACATTCTTCATATTTGCCAGGTACAAAACCCTTCATAATCCCGTCTTGTTGCAGGATCTCCGCTCACACTAAGTCTAAACTAAACTGCCAAACCATACGGTAGATGAAGGACAAGCGCTCCCAATCAGGAACATTCGTGTCGTCACTGAGCAAATCGCCGTGTCCATTCGGATGCCGTTTTGTCGTGGGCAGGTCTGTCGCTTAGGTACTGCTGGGCAATGCTCCCCACAAGCGGATCATCTGAAACTCCGTCCCCCGAACCGTTTTAGAATTTCTCCAACACCCTACCAAGACACTTCAATCACCCACAACCCTAAAGTATAACACCCTACTTCGATAGAAATGCTAGACCTAGAGTGGCAAAAACATTTTGCAGGGATGAGTCAGCCATTTTACAACCTATGGGCATAGCATTCCAGTCACGAACTGTCCAACGGATACAATACGAATGATGTAAGGTGGTCTCATGAGAAAAAACTGACACAAAGTACATCCGCCTAATCACATCACGTGTCAAAAATGTTCAGCATGACGCCAACAAAATTCCCATGCGCAGCACAACGACGCATCAGATGCGCGTTTCACACAAATTATGGGTACTCAGGACACCATGAACCACCCTGACCCACACCACTATATCGGTCATTTCTACACATCTTACGTGGATTGGCATCTGTCAGCAAAGAGCAGATAGACAGCAGCACGTTGGAAACGGTCAGAGCCGGGCTCCAATTCTCTTTAAGGATGTCCAAACAGATTTGCCCGTTGTTGTTGATGTTGCAGTGATAAATGCGCGTTCTGAACAGCACCTGCCAAACACAAGGCTTTCGTTCAGCACTTATCGTACCATACCAGACTACAGTATGCACAGTCTCGAGCACATCGCAGCCGTTGTATTTACTGCATCCTCAAATTGAAGCACACCGAGATCTCGCTCACAATCTCCAATTTGGGGCTAACAAGGGCTCGTACGCAGAGAAAGAACTCAACCCTAACAACTCCGCCTAATTCTCCAACGCTACTGTACGTTCTTACCTCACGGACAGTTCCCTAACAGAAACGTCCAAAACATCACCACGGCTCTTGACCTCCTCAATATTAGTCAATCGCGTACACAAAATCAGAAAAGAAAATAAGAAAATAAACGCTCAAGCTCAATGACCCCAGCCTAAAAATACAGACACCAAGGATCGGAGAGTCGTGCTCACCTTTGGAGGTTTGAAGGGGTAGTCGCTTGGAAAGTTGATGTCCAGAAAGAACACTCCCCCATGGTACGGCGAATCTGGCGCAGGCCAAAACCAAATCCACACATCAGTGCACTCTTCCTCTCACTGGAGAGAAACAGGGGCAACCACCTTGCAAACGAGGTGCAGCAGCAACACCACCTACCGAAAAAAAAAAAAAAAAAAAAAAAAAAAATCACAGGGCGATGTCAGGCAGGCGCCATGCCCAAACATGGCGCGGACGGTACCAGTCGGCCCCATGATGGTGGATACCCATTCGTAGAGATTGTCGCCTTTGGGGCCAGCAGAGCAATTGGGCGGTGGATCCACAGTGATATCCGCCAACTCCTTCTGAATCCGCTTGGCGGAAGCTGTGAGCGACTTCATGGAAGTGTTGGGCGATGTCATCCCCTGCCTGCCACTGCCGCGCTCCCTCGCCTCCTCCTCCTGGTGCTACAAATCCGACCTCCACTGGCCTGCCTGCCTGCCTGCCTGCCTTCGCCGTGTCGGCAGGATGCAGAGTGTGGGTAGGCGCTACGAGCGAGAGCAAGAAGGGAGGCAGAGGGCGAGAGAGGAGCGAAGGAACAGGAAGCAGAGATGGGATGGCAATGGCGAAGAGGGAAGGGAGTGAGGAGGAGGAGGAGGGCTGGGAGGGAGGGGAATTGCAGGCTGGGAGGGCTGGAGGGAGAGGGGCAGCAGGGAATGAATGAGGGGAATGGGGAAGGAGAGTTAGAGAGAGAGGGACTGGGACTGGGGCTGATGCCTGGGCATATGGGCTATGATGGCCTCGTCGCAGGGGCAGCAGCAATGGGGCCAACTTGGCATCCATCCATCCATCCATCCATCCATCCCTGCTGTGCAGCATCATAAAGGCCGGGTCCCCCCGCCAGCACCTGGGACCGGGCTGCCATTCCTCCCGGCCTGGCATTGTGCCGGGGTGCGGGGCGGGGCCGAGCAGGGAGGGCCATGGTGGCCGAGCCCGTGCGGATGAGCACAAGAAGCACAGGGGCCCTCCTCCCTCCCTCCTCCCTTTCCTGGCTGGAGTTCTTCTCCTTCTCGTCCTGTTGCTGCTGCTGCTTCGTCCCGCACGCCAGTTGTGCTCTCCCTCTTGCTCTCACCGCTCCTGGTGCGGTGCCCGGCTGTGCCGTGTTTCGTCTCAGGTTCGGGTGTGTGTCCACGTAGGACCTCTTTTTTTTGAATTGTTTTGCTCCCACTAGGCCGTATATTCCCAGCTGTGGACCACCACGTAGTGGCAATGAGATCCAACAGGGCATCTTTTAGGAGGAGGATATGTGGTGCCCAGAGGATTTCATTCATGTTGGATTTTGTGCACTTCAGGTATTTCTCATAACAATCCAAGTGCATACGCAACTTTACAGTGATGTCTCAAATTTCTGGTTTTTTTCTCCTATATATTACTGATTTGGAAAGCATAGTTAATAATTTAGTAAAATATTTAGTAAAAACTTCAGTCTATTTAATATTCTTATATATATATATATATATATATATATGTACATATACATATATAATTTTTAATTTTAGTTTAATATTTCTTTACAACCTAACTTGTTTGTAAATAATAACTACGTGGATCATATGTTCAAGAATTGAGACAAACTATTACACAAATTAAATATCACAAAAGATATTACAACACTAAATTTTTAATATTTTAAAAATTATATTGACTTTGTAACTCAATAAAATGACCTTTCTTCACTTTACATTTAGATCTTCAGAAACTCCTTAAATACTTGTAATTAGCTTCTAACCATAATACTTGTTTGATTTTCAGATGGCTATGGTATTCACATCTACCTTTTATAAAATAGAGTTTGATACATATATTAATGTTTGTATTACTATTTTTTTTTATTAATTTGACTTTTAAAACATTACATTGATTCTTTTGTATTTTTAAATTTTCTTTATTTAAAACCATATTGATAATTATTTTACAAAAATCTCTTTTCTTTTTAAAATATGTCTATACAAATTATAAGACAATGTAAGTTTAATAAGTAATAAGCGCATATATATATATATATATATATATATATATATATCTTTGATAAAATTCATTCTAGTAAAAAATATCTCTTACCAAGTTAATAAAAATATATACTTACAATTCCTTGGAATTGACAAAATATTTATTTCTTTATTTATTTTAAACATAAAGTAATATTTAATACCCTCTTTCTTTAAATGAAATATGATTATATTTTAAAATGATAACAATAACAATATTCTTCTTTTTTGGATTTAAAAGAGATCTAAGATTCTGAAGAAATTATTGTTTGTACAAACACATATTACACAAACTTTTATTTCAAAACTTGTCAAATATAAAATCATTGTAAAATATATATACAACTTTGTGAAACTCTATATAACTGTGCATACAAATTAAGCATGGCTATATAAATTTATATACATATTTTTGCGACTAAAATTTCTTTAAAATGCTTAAAATATTTTTGTACTTGTAATAACTTATAAATAAACATAATCTTTTGATATACTTACTTATTATTATATTTAACTTAAAAGGTTTGTAGAATGAACTTGTTATTTGTTGATTGTGTATATTTTTTTGGTTAAACTGTTCTTGGTTATATAATTCAATACATTAAAAATAGAAATCATTGTCATTGCATTTATTTTATGGATTGCAATTAGCCTGAAACAGATTATTTTAAAAACAACCACAAATATTTTACAATATAACGGTATAATAACTAAAATAAAAAATCTCAAATGAAATGCTTTTTGTATTTGAAATTTAATTTTTTTAGTTTGGGTTCTATCTCAAAATTACATTTAATACAGTAATGTTTCGATTCTTAAAATATAGTAATTATTATAAGTGCAACAAATCTAATGTAACACAATTCTTTACTGAATACATACATACAATATTAATTTTCGAATTAAATATTTTTTATGACTAAAGTAAAAAAATTAATTGTAATTTATTAGATACATGCATAAAAATTGTATTAAATCGTAAGTGATTATTATATATATACTAAAAATCATACTTAAAACTATCTATTTTTAATAAATTACCACATTTAAATAGATATAGATAAACTATAAATCAAATGTGTAACGCAATCAAAGATACAATTTCCTTAATGGCAAGGGTAGTTTAAAGCAAGAATTACATTAATTATACGTACAGCTAATTAAATGCTTAAACTATTACAATAAATTCATATTTGTGTGTAAAAAGATGATCATTTTACTAAAGTATTTTTAAAGAATGTGCTATATTCACTTGTAACAAAAATTGATGCTTGAATAATAAAAATCACACCATATTTCACAAACCTGGCCAAATTATTTGCATATAATACCATGTGGCTTTGTGGTGAATAGATAACCCGACATAAATTAAAGATCCAGTAATTTTATTTTGATGTATTTATATAAAGTTGACGATTATTTTAGTTTGGTACAGATTTAACAATAGTGGATAATTTTTGTGAAATGAGAATTTATCCTATACCTGGTATTTTAAAAAAGTAGCATACTTATGTAATTTAGAATATCAAGACTTGGCATTTAAAGAACAACTAAAATTGCTGAAAAATACAACTAATACTAGTTCTACAACAGACTTGGCCGAGTACATATTTTGTTGGTTTGAGTGTTGATATAAAGAGACAAGAAATTGCATGGTGTATTTATATCTCTTGGTTGCACTTACCTTCGTTCTCTCCTTTCGATGCTCGCTTTCCATTATTTCATTATATTTAATTTTGACACCCTTTGATTTTCGGCGTTGAGAATGCTCAATTGCATATCCCTCATTAATCCTAATGAAGTATTCAACTAAATCACACGCAACCCTTTTAGCTGCTCATTTGTTATCTTTTTGTTCTAAGAAGTATTCAACATCACTGAATTCAGTATTCAGTATAACTGAATCTGATCCAATCCAGTTTAATTGCAACCTTGTTAACGGAGAGCATGATGGATGGATGGATGAATTTAGGATGGACGATATGGATGTCCTTCTCTTCTTCTGTCGTCTCGCACCCCTTCTTTCAGCTTCCTCGCTTCTAGAATTCAGCATTTCGGGGTTTAGGGTTTAGAGTTGCAGTTCTATCAGACTTGGATTTTGGAGCAAACGAAAAGCAATTGCTTCCGACACTGTAAGTTTCGAATGGCGAATTCCTTTTTCAGATTTTTTTAATTTGATCTCGCATTCTGAATTTGATGTAATCCTCCTCGATGTCGGGCTGGGAGTAATCGCATTTAAGTGTTTCCCAATGTTTTGCTGTCTGCTGCATTCATTTGTAGTCCATTCTACTTGTGTTCGATCAGCTGTTTGTTTTAGGTCTAGGGTTTAGGGTTTGACGAAAATCTGAGTGGAGGGGTTTCGTCATTTTGAAGGGTCAGCGATGGCGCTAGGAATTCTTACTCAGTTCCTGCGCGGCGGCCGTGCCGTGCCCCGCACCGGAATTAAGATCCTGACTTCCAAGCGTGGTCCCCGAAACTATTACAAGGGAAAGGGGTGCAAGCCCACGGGTCGCCACACTAGTAAAGGTATGCATCTTTTGCTTTGAAATTAGACATTCTTCATAGAATCTTTCTCTTTTAAAATTTCTCATTGGTTTGCTTGCACTTTGTTATCTTCTCTGTTGTTTAATGTCCATTACAGGATCTAGTTCTAATGTTATATGTTGTTAGCAACCTGGACTTATGTTTTGAATGGGACCTTTGCTCAGGTGGCTATGTATTAATGGACGAGAAGCTCCCTCGGTACATTGTTCCTGATTTGACGAACTGCAAGGTATGCAGTAATATGCACTCTATGCTCGAATGCACGAAGCGGTGATGTTGTTGGAACCATACTTAGCTTCTGCCTCAGAGTCTAAGAGAGTTGTAATGTCCCGTACAATTATCTTTTTTACATGTTTAGATCACTCTGATTTTCTTTGATCAAGTCTGCATCAATCTGTTCAACCATTGTCGTTCTTTAGGAAATAATTGCTGTGTCGTGGGCTAATGCAGTTGCTTCCATACGTTGCACACGACACACCTGAAGTCGCGAAGGAGGAGAAAGTGGGGTCATGATGTGTGACATGGACGTTATTGGACCCCATTTCTTGCTGATCTTGCACACATTGGAGCGGCTAGGTTTCGTTCGCCGAGGCTCTCTGCTACAGTTGTTTCTATCTGGGCTTTAAACCTTGTAGAGGGATTAAGCGACTCGGTTTCCTTTTTGTGAGATTGATCGTGATTGTGCGAGAGAAGCAGCCTACCAAGTTGAATGAAGAGTATCCTTGGAAAAATCTAATCGGACAGGCTCATCAAATTAGCATTGATGTTGAGAATTTTGTTCCTGAATTTGTCTTTGTAACCAAATCGTGTGAAGTGTTCACGATCGACATAATTCTTCGGTTATGATTGTTAGGTGCATACTGCATTTGTCACAGCTCTTACGTTCGATATGATTTTTTTTATAAACCTCATCTGACGTGATTATATACTCCTGATATTAGCGGTGGTGTTTTAAGAGGAGATTTTACTCCCCCTTACAAACTCTTGGGGAGTTTTAGGCTCGGTGCTTTAGGTCACGTATATTTGCAATCGATGTGGTCATAACCACTAATTGGTGAATAGTTGCTATTCATAGCCGTTCCCTGATTGTTGTTATGGGAGAATCTGAAGTCCTTATTGTTTTGTAGGTTGTTTGAATGACGTCGTTCAAGTTTAATTCTATCATGTCATTTTAGTAGCTTGATACTAGGTATTTCAGAGACGCGCATCGCTTTACTGCCACCGAACAGACGCCCCATTATTGTGAGAACGAGTACTGGGGGTAGTCTTGATATTCCTATGTATAATGTTGAGACCTTATTGGAGTCGAGACGGACATCATCATGTGGTTTCGCTTTATGTCAATAGTAGACATTACTTACTGCGAGTGCCTGTGGGAATATTCTATTTGGAAATACTATTGGTCAAGGCTATGTCTCCCACGATTTGGCTGGGGCCCTTAAACCAACATCACGCCTTTGTTGACCGTCCCGTGCGTTCTTGTGCAGCTCTATGCAGCACCCTTCACGATTTATGTACTTGAAAACGCATTTTTAATTTCTCCGGATTCTGTAAAACTCACACTTGCAGAATTGTTATACAGCAGTACACTCTTTGTTCGATGATCCTTCTTATGAAACTACTGCTCCAGTTCCTCATTTGATTTTTCTGAGTATCCGTGGTTGTGGAGCTTTTGTAGTTGACACTCAATCACAGATCACTTGAGACATGAGCTGAGCACCATTAGTCCAGCCCTCAAGTCATGCCACCCAACATGAGTACCTTAGTATAGGGCTTGTCACTAAGTATTGGCTCTCAACATGCTGCATCATTTTTTTTGGTGTGAGGGTTGAAAATAGGTTTAGCTTTGAAGTTTGAAAGCTTTTATGGCGCAATTCGCGGATCAGACAGCGAGGTTGGTCAGTCATAGTGGATTAGGGTTTTGAGGATTGTGCTGGTTATATTGAAGTCTCTAGGATCCTTTCGGCGTTCTGTGTACTTTGAAAGAATATGGCAGGTGCGGGAATGTCTGGAGTCGTGATTGCAGTGTCTCTGAGGCGTTTCTGTGCTTTGGTGTTGACTCCAAGTGAGGGGAATTATGGAGCTTCTTCTAGCCAACAATGGATGCACTTCTTTGGGCAAGGGTGTTGAGTGTCACCAAAAACTCTGTAGCTTCAGGAACTTCGATAGCGCACGCGATGGATTCCGAGTACATCCGAGATAACTTCATCTCAGGCGGCAGCAGCAGCACAAGAGACACTATTGGTGATAATCTGTATGATTGTCTCGGTGTGAGCAAGCTCGCGACGCCGGAGCAGATCAAGGCACTGCAGGTGCATCCGGACGTGGTATTGGAATATCATAGAGAAGAGGACACGAAGGTGTTTCGGGATCTTCAAGTGGCTTATAATAACCTTTCTGATAGCCAAGCCAGAGCTACTTATGATCAAAAACTTAGGATGCGAGACACAGGGCCTGTTTCTACAAAGCTCTCATAATGGGTTTCATACCAGTTCCTTCTGACCCAGATAATCCTTCCAGCAGTGTTATGTTCAGGGGAAGAAAAAATCATGAATCCAACTTCTTCACTTAGGAGGATAAAGTAGCTGATCCATTCTTGACCACCTATAGAGTGGGATATTTTTGCAAGTTTGGCATCCTATTTGTGACTAGTTTTCATATCCTATGGTCGAAAATAGGTTGGGGGTCGGTTAAATTGATGGTTAGTTGTAAGCAACATAAAAAATTCATTGAACTTGGATATGCATGAACTATCAAAATTTAATTATGCATTAATGGAGTTGCACATATAAGGCAGTTGATTTTGGATCAATGGTTGATTATTTTTTGCTCTTCTTATGGTTGAGAAGTGTGATTGAAATATTTGGATTTAAATGGATGACATAGCAAAAATCTAAAAAGCTATGGTTGAAAATGAAATAGTGTTTACTCATATAGTTGAATTTTTCTTCTTGATATTTCTAGAAGTATATGGGGATGCCAAATTGCAACAAATTCCAAAGTGTGGTGAGGTGTGTGGAGATACCAAATTATGATACATTTCAAATTGCAATCAAGTGTATGGAGTGGTAACTTTTGCTCTTTGATTTTTTCAAAGATATGAGGTACGTTGGAGTGCCGAATTGCAACACATTCTAGATTGTGATTAGGTGTGTAGAAGTGACAAATTGCAATACATTCCAGATTGCAATCATGTGTGTGGACGTGCCAAATTTTGCTCTTTAATTTTTGAGAGATGCAAGGTGTGTAGAGGTGTTGAATTGCAACACATTTTGAATTGCAATCAAGTATATGGAGATGCCAATTTTTGCTCTTTGATTTTTCTAAAGGTGCAAGGTATGTAGGAGCACCAAATTGTAACAAATTCGAGATTGCAATGAGATGTATGGAGGTGCCAAATTGTGACACATATTGGATTGCAATCAAGTATGTGGAAATGCCAACTTTTGCTCTTTCATTTTTCTAAAGGTGTAAATTGTGTGGAGGTGCCAAATTTGGATACATTTTGGATTGCAATCTACTATGTGGGAATGCCAACTTTTATTCTTTCATTTTTCTAGAAATGCAAGGTATGTGGAAGTGCCAAATTGCAACATATTATGGATTGCAATCAAGTATGTCTAAATGCCAACTTTTGCACTTTCATTTTTTTAGAGATGCAAGGTATATAGATGTGCCAAATTGCAACATATTCTAAATTGCAATCATATATGTAGAGGTGCCAACTTTTGCTCTTTGATTTTTTAGAGGTATCTAGAAGTGTCAAAAGGCAATACATTATAGGTTACAATTAGTATGAGTCACTAAATTGACTCATTGATGTGTTTAGTACAAAAATTATATTTATAATGCTTAAAGTCATTAGTTTTGTGCATTCATGTAATAGTTTTGAGATAAATAGAAAATAGAAAATAAAATAGAATATTAGTTGCAAGAATAGATCTCTTGTAGAATTATTCTTAAGAAGAGATTTTAAATTACATATCCTCTTTTTAATTTAGTTAATAGAGATTTATGATATTTTTTATAATATATTTTGAAATTAAAAAATAAATTGGGCTCCAATCAATTACATCTAAATCCAATCAATTACAAAAGAAATAGAAAAAAAATAAAAAATAGAAAAAGAAAAAAAAAAAAAAAAGAAAGAAAATAGAGAGAAAGAAGGTAAGCAATTAATAGGAGAGAGTACGGAGAAAAAAGTAAAATTAGAAGAAAGTAGAGAAAGGAAGAAAAAATCAAAAAATATAGAAGAAAGAAAGAAGGAGAAGAAGAAGGAAAGATAGAAAGAAAAAGAAGAAAAAAATAATAGAAGAAAGAAAAATGAAGAGAGGGTGATGAAGAAGATGAGAGGCTGCTTAGGAATGGTAGCAGCCTCTTTGTCGATAGGGATCTGGCAGCCCGGATCCCTGTCTTTTTTTTCTTTTTTCAGTTTGGTTTTTTCTTTGGATTTGGATTGCAGTCGGAAGGGCGGCTTGAGTATGGAATTTTTTCTACGTGTGTATTGTTATGGTGCTACGAAAGGAGAAGATTAGAGAATAGTTTCAACTTTTACTTTTTGCATTGTAGGATGATTGAACAACTCATAGTTTAGTAACAAGATATATACCTATTGAGCTTATGACTAGTCAAAAATCTATTATGCCAATTGAAGAAAAAGTACTTATTTGGAATGTACTACCATGACAAGATGAATTAACAAGAGAAGAACTTTTAGCTATTAGAATTCAATAACTTGAGCAGACACCAAAAGATGTGTAAATAGTATTAAAAAAGATTAAAAATAATAAGGTTACAAAATAAAGCACAATTTGATAAGTAATATCAATTAAGACCTAAGGCAATTGAAGAAGGTGATTGAGTTTTGGCCTATGATAGTAGCTTGGACAATCAAAAAAGTACTTTAAAGAATTTTTGTAAATGACGATTTAGACCATATATATTATTAATTATACATAATAATGTAACTTATTCATTACAAGAACTAGATGGAACAAGGTTAAAAATATCAATTGTAGGAAAATAAGTGAAGATTTTCAAATAAAAATAAATGAAAATAAATATAAAAGATCTTATTGAAGACATAAATTTTTCAAGATAAGAAGATGATTTTGACTTAATAAAAATGATGAAGAAGATTTGGATGAAGACATAGAGAACATAATATGAATCAAATAAGATTTGGATTATTTATGGAATACCAAAAGATGCACAAGTTCAAAGAAGGTGGATGTTATTTGCTAATACAATTATATAGTAAAAAATAAAAATATGGATGTTATTATAAAATAATCTAGTAGAAAGATATAGTAGAAAAATAAGAATAAATGATAGAAAGGTAGTAAAGGATTTAGACTTGATATTGTTTTTTTGTAAAAAAAACCTCTATTTATTTTGTAGAAGCATAAATAAACCAAATCAAAGTAAATGAGATAAGAAATTATATAGATGTATATAAAAAAGAATTAAGAATAGGTTTTAGTAAAATTTATCTCAAAAAGCTAAGAATTGATACCAGGAGAGGATCAATTGTCAACTTGGATTGAAATCAGACTCTGAGGCACAAAATCAGATATCTACAATGACTTCCAAATTCTTTGGAAGATCAAAGAGTGGAATTTGAGAGAAAACTTAGAAAGAGATTTTAGGCATTGGTTTTATTTCAATCAAGTCAATATTGAATTTTTGAGAAATTTTCAAAGTTATTGATGTTCTCGATTTATTTAGATTTTTAAAAAATAAAAATATGTTTACAAATTTGAAGGTTTCTTAAGTTTTGTAGTATATATATAGGTGAATTTTAGGTAGTGTCTTGATATTTTAGTTATTAATATGCGTGCAAATTTGAGGTTAATCAAATGGTTAAATTAAAGTATGTGAAGGTTTTTGTAGATTGAGGTCTCAAAAATTGGAATAAAAATATCACTAAATAATTTTAAGATTTTTAGCGATCTATTATTTGGATTAAAGTGATTTTTTTTGTATAGATATTAGATTCAATTTTCAAATTTTAAGATAAAATTTGAAAGCAATTCAATGGTTTGAAGAAGAAATATTAATATTGGAAGTTTAACATTTAGATTAGAGTAGGAGGTTACCTAACAACTAATTGGATTATCTTGCTTTTTTCTTGATTGGTAAGTACGATTGATTTCATCTTTTTTATGCTTGTCTTTAATTAAGACGTTAAAAAGTGTAAAGAAATTTGAGTTGATATCAAAGATTCAATTATTAGTTGAAATTTCATTTGTTGTAGAATTTGTTTAAAATCTAAGATTTGATTAGGATTGGTTTTAAATTTGATCTGAATTTGCTTAGGATTTGGTTTAGAGCTAGTTCAAAGCTTATTTCGGATTTAGGATTTGATTAGAATTTCAATAAGGATTTGATTTAAGATTTGATTAAAATTCAATTAAGGTTTTAATTAACATTTGACCTAGGATTTAACTTAAAGTTTGATTAATATTTAATTAGGATTTTAATTAGAATTATATTAAAATTTTAATTTTTAATATTTCTTTAGAATTCTTTATTTTTTCTTTAAGGTTTATATTTCTAATATTTCTTTAAGATTATTATCATTTTTTAAAGGTTTATTTTTATATTTCTTTAAGATTTCTTATAATTTTATTTTAAAACTAGTTTGAAACTAATTTATATTTCTTTTATAACTTCTTTTAAATTTATTTTTTATTCGTCAAAGTTTGATCAAAATTATTAAGATATACTTAAGATTATTTAAGATTCTATTAAACTTGATAGAATTGTAGTTGCATTTCTGCTTATCTTCTATAACTAGGTGCTTGATGCATTTTCAAACAAGAACACTTACAATACAATACCAAGGCTTTTATCTTATTTGTGAAGAAAAAAAATAAATTGCTGTAGATGTGTATGGACTATTGAAGATTTAATATGATCACCATGAAGAATTGGTATCCTCTACCTTTGATTTTAAGACTTTAACTAATTCAATTAAGCAAAGAAATATACAAAAATAATACTATAAGAAGCATACAACCTAGTCCAAATAAATAAAAAAAAAAAGATGAATAGAAGATTATTTTTCAAACTATGTATAGATATTTTGAATATAATGTCATGCCTTTTGGATTCATGAATATACTTCTACTTTTCAATATCTTGTGAATAACATTTTTTGTAAATTTCTTAATGATTTTTTGGTTTATTATTTTAATACATCTTAATTTACTCTATAAATATAAAAGAGCGTGAACTTCATACTTGTCGTATATTACTAAAAATTAAAAGATAAAAGATTGTACACCAAAATGAAAAAGTATTTATTTCATACTACTCAAGCTGACTTCTTAAGATACATAAGTTCAAATAATAGTCTTATAATAGATCCTAAGATAGTTCAAACTATTATAGATTGAAAGATTCTAAAAATACTCAAAGATGTGTGTTGTTTTTAAGCATTTGATAATTATTACCAAATATTTATCAAGAATTT